CGGCACGGTCTTCTAATCCTAGCACATCCAAGCTGCAAAGATGCATGTAGTCTTCTTGAGAGCTTTTGGTGAACATCAGGAAGGAATGATTCATCTCTCGTCCCGGTGACATGATGGTCCATCCCAACGCGGTTTTCTCGGCAACTGGCATCCCATCGTCTCCAACCCTGGCTGGTTCTGATGTCTTGACTCTGGACATATCACTGGCTCCTAGGATAAGGTGAACAGGTAGAAGTGCTTTCTCGTCTCCGTCATTCATATGGACTCCTCGAAGATGTTCATAAGTTTTAATAAGTTCCTTGTACCTGGGGTTTGGCAAAGTCATTAGCACATCCTTCTCGATCCGGTTCAACTCACATGGCATCTTGAATTTTCCCTCAACATCTGCAATCTCGACTTCGTACACATCAATTTTCCTTGTTGTACTTTGGAACATCATCTCAATTGATTTAAATTCCTGTCTCACTGGCTTTTTTCCAATTGTATTCAATAACGTCCTTGACGCGAAAGAGCTCCCAGATCCAGTATCTAAAGGTGCTCGACACTTAACTCCTTCAATCTCGACTACAACAACTGGATAAACAACATAATTTCCATTGGGTTGGCACATCAGCTTTTGACCATCTTCTAGTTTATCACAAATAGAAGTATGGTGTCTTCGCTTGCAGTTATAACACTGGATCCTACTTCTACAATCACTTGCTCTATGCTTCTCGTCTGTGCAATTAAAACACAGATGCTTGCTGCTTAACAATTTCTTTCGGTCACTTGCACTCACAACTTTATCGCACTCTACCGATCTGTGACTTTTGCTTTCACAATACACACACTGTCTAGATTGTTCCTTTGCTAACAATAATCTATCTTTCCTACCGTCTTTCCATGGTGATCCATCTTTCTTCGCATCTTTCTCACTTTGTTGTATTGGGTTTCGCTCAATCCATTGTCGCAATGCTTCAACCAACTCAGGGAAGGTCCACTTTTTCCACTCTGGCGAGGTTCTTGTTAGGTCAGCCCGAATCCCTTCCATCTTATCCAAAGTCATCCTTACATTACCCGCAACATCGCCTAGTTTTCCGAATGTTTCAAGCGCTTGAACGTGTCCGACAAGATTGTCATAAAAGTTATGTATCTTTTGTTTTGAAGTACCATTAATGGTAGGTAGGGAAATAATTTCTTGTATGTGTGCATTGACCACCTCACTTGTATCACCATACCGTTCCTTTAACATCTTTTTCGCTTTCGCATACCCTTCGGTGCTGAGTGGTAATTTATCGATTGTAACCCTAACTTTAGATACAACATGCTCTTTCAAATATGCAAACTTTGCTTCATCATTCATAGGTGCTTTATCAATTTGGGTCTCAAATAAACCCCAGAACCGCACCCAGTCCAAATGACTTCCTTGAAATTTTGATATTTGTAGATCAGGTAATTTTGTTTTGATCCGTTTTGCAGAAGCAATTTCCAACTTCTTTTCTTCCAAAGATAATGCAAACTTTTCCTCCCTTGCACGCTTTTCAAATTCTGCCTGTTCTTCCTCATGTCTTATTAGAGCTCGTGCTTCCACTTCTTGTCGAATTTTCTCTTGGCGCTCACTTTCCCTTTGTATTTTCTCTTCGTCTAAGAGCCTACGATTTAACTCTTCGATTGCCGCTTCATATTCACGTAATCTGCCATTATTTTCACTTGTCCACTCGTCAATAGTTTCGTCAGATTCGCCTGCATCGATTTTCAAGCATTGTATAAGCTCATGAATCAAACCATACGCTTCGCTTACCTTGGTTTTTAGCGTTGTTTGTTGTCGTATTATCGCCTCTTTCGAATTCACTCTCAAATTCTCGTCTGTTGCTCGGTTAAAATATGCTAATTTCCGTAGTAAAGACTGTAAGTTAACCAGTTTCGACTCAGTTTCCTTGGATAAACCCGATTGCTGTTCGTCTTGAGCTTCAAGATCTCTTCGCTGACTTTGTTGTCTCGTCACCATAGCTCGATTTTGTAGTCAAAATACTTCCTCAAACCCCGATAAATTCTCGATAAATTCCCGATAAATTCACAAGTTACAAGTCCAAATAATCCCGGTCGAAGGTGCCACTTTGTGATGAAGTTTCGTTTGATTCCCACAATCGGTTCGAAGAAGTAAAGACTTTATAATATCACGTTTTGTTTAAGTTATAATTCCCGTTCTAAAGTCAACGCTCGCTCACATGTTTTGTACTATATCCGAAGTGTCAATCAAATTGTACATTTCCTTAATAATATTAACACTACTGATCTATAAATGTAACTGTATAAACGTTCACGACAATATATTCCAATTGTTCATTGGTGTCACAGATGTACATCTGTCTAAACTACAGCAGCTACAAAATACAGCAGCACGTCTGATCTGTTCTATCCCTAAACATGATCACATCACTCCGACTCTCATCAAATTACACTGGCTTCCTGTTCAATTAAGGATCAAGTTCAAAATTGCTATGCTTGCTTTTAAATGTACCATCAGTATGCACCTCTCTATCTTGTCAATCTTTTAAAAGTAAGAAATACATCATGCTATAGTCTAAGATCTAACAAAGGCACATTGCTTGGAGACTATCGTACAAAAACAAAGAAAACACTTGGTGACAGAGCATTCGTAACCTCCACTCCAAAAATCTGGAATGAATTACCTATGTATATAAGAAATCTGCATAACTTTAGTATTTTCAAGAAATTAGTTAAGACTTATTATTTTCAAGAAGCCTTTAATGTAAATACTTCATGTAACATATAATCTATATAATCTTGTTTATATTTTTTAGAATCATTTTAGTGTAATTATGTTGTGATGCGCATTTGATCATATACTATAACATGTTAATTTGTGCAATATAAATATTAAATATTATTATTATTATAATTCATTTCCTTTCAAGAAAATACTAAATGTGACTCCAGTTTTGCGCAGATACATGTAGCGTACCTATTTTTATAGATACACCAAGAAAATAATTCATATATAAGGGATCTCTTGCATGCAATCATCATGTTATGCATTTCTTTAGGTTCAGGACATGGCTAAGGCTCTTTTACTACTAAATAAACGGTGAAAATTTCGGACAAATATTCATTCAGTATCAACAATAGAATTTTATAATAGAAAGTGATTTTAAAGTTTTGGCATATATTAGAATAACTTACATAAAACAACAATTGAAAAGTATAGGACAATAGAATAAACCAACCGCATAACTTTATTTGCTCCGGGTAAAATCATGGTTTTACCCTAAGGCTAAGAATGTGCAGAACTTGCTGGATTAATTTCTCGGTACGAGATTATCGCAGTTATACGATTATATTGGCGGATTATAAACAAGGGGGAATTTCGTTCTCGACCAATCAGCGCTTTTGTTTACATTTTTGCCCTAAGCCAATATATCAGAATGCGCAAAACGCTTCATCACATGAAATTTGTAAACAAACATATGGGGTTACTTCAGAGCTTTTCTTTCTTTTTGCCATGAAATTCATATATGTTGTTCTTAAAAGAATTCTCCTCAACTTCCTCGTGGCGATTTTTGATTAATTGCGTGATTGCGAAGATATGGGTCTTCAAACTTTGCCTTGCGCAAGCTTAAATACCACCCCTCGAATTTATAGGTTCCGAACGGATTAGCGTTTTTAAAAGCCTTTCAAATCGAGGTTTGAGACGTTTTATTTTTTAAAAGATACTTTTACCTTCATATTTTCACATTAACTTATTAATATCCTGTGTAACAAGTAAACAGGACATTTCCGGGCCGGGATAAGTTGACATGTCGATTTCTTGCCAAACAGCGTGGCGATCATGCAATATGGCGAATATCTAAATACAGGGTATTTTTAAAATTTTGTTGGTATAAATGGGATAAAGAAGCTCATCAAATATTTGGACTATGGACCTTCAAACTTATGCCAAGTATTTATTTGATTGATTAGCTCAATAACTGTTTTTTGGCTCGTTTTTCGTCGACTTCGACATTTAGTCGAGCTTAGGGAGCATTCATAATTTACGTGGTGAGGGGCTATGAGGATTTTGCATATTAGGAAAATTTTTTTAGGCAACCTCCCCTCCACACCTAGCAAATTTTTTGGTGACCCCCCCCCCAAACAACAGACATTTAGTAGATAGAAATTTTCATGACCCCCCCCCCACCAAAAAAAATCTATTCCACATTAATTAACTATTTGTTCTCATTGTTTCATGTTGTGCTCGTTCGAGAGTATTAATTATGTCAACATTTTTTCAAACTGCTCAGTTTTGATATTAATAAATTTTAAAAATATTACAAGCACAACACTTTATGTACCTGCCTGTCAAAAAATAATCCTTTAATATAAACCTTAACTGAAATATACTGTGCAAGTTGCAAATAACTTTTTTAATAATACCAACAAATGATAACATAACTGTCACGGTAAGTTTTGTCCTAACTGCCTTCATACCACTGCATGAGTGTTTCCCAACCTGACTCTTCTAACAAGTCACCCTTCAACTTATCAAAAACTTCAATTAACAATGCATTTTTTGTTAGTCCTTCAAGGTTATCACAGTTAATGTCATTAGCACCTAACTGAAAGGCTCCTGTTATAGATGGACTGTACAAATTATCACAGACAATAGGTGCTCCCAGTCTTTTTGCAACATCCAAAGAGAGTCGCTCAAGTCTTTGTCTCTAGAAAAAGCCAAGAAAATTCAAGTTTTATATAAAACACCCCCCTCCCATTTTTGGCTTATAGTTTTGGAAAACAAATGTTGAAAAAATCCAGTGCAATACCTTTCTAGCTTGGGCATGATGCTTATTCTCCTTTTTACGTCTCTTCTTTCTTTGCTCTTCACCGTCCAAAATATCACCACCTGAATCCTTATCCTTCATTAGAGAAAGTGTAGTGGACAGCTTGGATGTTGCAGTTTCAATTGTCCCTATTTTTAAGTTTTGATATTGACAATAAATTTTCCAACATATTATAAATGAATCATTAATGTTGATAGCAACAGCATAAAGTATGACATCTATACATGTGTAGTTTATTTACCTCTCAGCCTGTCACACTGAAGCATTGCATCACAGTTGTATGGATCTTGCTCAACTGAAGCCCACTTCTTGATAATTCCATCTTCCAACATGAAAAGTCTTTCCTTTCTGTCTTTCTTAAGTATTTCTTTTTGTTCCAAAACAAGGTCTCGTTGTTTTAGGAGCTCTGACAGGCTTTTCTGAACTACACTTGCATCATGCTTGTCGAACTTTGGAGGCAAAGAAAAATATCGCTTGGCATCACAACCACCAGTCCCTCCTGTTGGTGTGTTTACAATGCCCTCATAAGCATGTTGTATCCTTTCCATCGCACTGCGAAACTCCCATCGTGATTTTCTTTCCGATTTAAAGTATTTTACAAATCGACTTTGTAGGTGAACATAACACGCATAACTTGCAAAACTTGCAAAACAGTGAATTAAAGAATTTGTGTTTGTCTGTTACCGGGTTTGGGATGATAAGATTTTCCTGCTCGAACTTCTTCCGTAACTGCATTGTCATTTTTACTCCTCCTAGATCAACTTCTGTTTCTTGTGACCCTCTCACGTCCTTTTCAGGAGCCAAAATACTTTTATCATATAAATTCGGAGGAAGGCGCCATTCATTGATTTCTAGTTCTTTAAGACCTGACAAAAACCTTCGCTTTTCCGCCTTCTTCAGTGGCAAACTGCATAGGTCTTCGTCGATATGAAAATCCTTTAGGTGCTGAATCTTATAAAAGCCTTCTGCTTTTAGTATTGCTAGAATATCCGCCTTGGAATCAACATCGATATCCAGCGTTTGAAACCAAATTATAAACTGTTGTTCTTCTGTTTCATCCGCCATCTTTATACTTTATTTCATTTTAATACCGCTGACCACGCTGCAGTTGGTTTGCAAACACTTGAATTGTTTTGTGAAAAGGACTAAAGGAGAAAAACTGTTATATTCATAAAGAACAAAGTCTGCCGATGTAACGTTTTATAAATAGGAGTTTATGGTAATGTTTTTAACACTAAATATGTATTAATGAAGTGTAAATGTTTCTTGACCTTTCTTTTGTTAATGTTTCTTGACCTTTCTTTTTTGCTTGTGAGTTATGGCTTTTGTCAGAAAAAAATCACCGCTAGGCGCTACGCCGTTTACGTTTATATTTTGAACAAAAAGTGTGAATATTAAAAGTGTGTGTATATTTATTCCCCACTTTTGCAGCTCGTAATACGATGCCATGGATACTGAGGTTTCTCAAGAACACCATGGTCGTACCAGTCAATGTACCAAGTCGACTCGAAATCTTATTAGGGATAAAATAATTAATCAATCAAAAGAGTGGTCACCGTATGTGTTAGAATCACAGCAAACTTGTAGCTTGTCGGATAATTTATCGATATTACAGGGGAGAGAAACTGTGTTCAATGATCCAAGAAGAAAGGAAAAACTACGAGGTCTTCAAGCCATTCTACAGGAAATGCTACTAGAAGAACCTTTTGATGTGAATAATCAGAAAAAAGTTGGCTTCATGGCATTTGACGATGCATTTGCTCTTTATATGGGATTTCAGTCCACTCAAGACTTTTCTCATCAAGCAAAGTATAATTTTCAGTGCGCTATACTACATCCAAATACTGGATTATGTGTCAATATTTTAGTTATTCCAGGCTCACGTGAAAAGGTTATTATATTGTGTCCAGATCGCTCCCTAGATTTTACTTTCCTGTATGATTTTCTGGTAAAACATTTCTATAGTGATAGAAAAGAGGAATTTACCAAAGAGGAAATTGATATTGTTGTGGACAGTGTGACATCAGAATGGGACAAGCAAGTAGTAAAGTATATACTATGTCGAACAAGAACAGCTGAAGAAATGAAGCTACTAGGCGTCAAACAAGAGACAATGGAAAAAATCAGAGACCGTGTTCCACTCGTTTTGGAGGAAGTAAGACATTCAAGTGCCGTCGTTAATAACGAGGTCAGTGAAAATATAAGCAATAAGATCGAGAAACTGGAGTCCAAAATACAGGCGAAAAAGAAACTCTTGTTAAGAAAGTCAAAAAGCTGGACAAAAGTGCGACAAGATGA